ATTTTGCATTTGCTTTTTTGTTTTCCCTTCCTCCCCTTCCCGGCTCAATCATCACCACCACCACCTCCCCCCACCCCCAAAAAAAAACAGACAAAAAAATGAAAATAAAAAGAAAAAAAAACACAACATTCGCACGACGCGAATCCTTTTCGCTAAACCGTCAACTGCAAAGGCACAGCAATTTTATATCGACGAGCGATCAAAACGCTATTATAACTTTTTACCTTGATCACCGAATGTCAAAACGAGAGAAAGGGAGAGAGAAAGAGAGAGAGAGAGAGAGAGAGAGGGAGAGAAGGATCGCTGTTTTTACTCTGCTTAACGACACTCCTTCTCATCCTTTGTTTCAGGATTGGTGACGGTACCCGCTGGCGGTGGTGGCACGTTCCTCGGTGGTTATTTGATAAAACGTTTGAATTTATCTTGCTCCGGTATTTTGAAATTCTGTCTCTTTTCTACGGCCGCTTGTATAGTATTCACCCTCTGTTTTGCACTGAGCTGTCCAAATATGAATTTCGCCGGACTCACCGTGCCCTATCATTCTCTTACAAAGTACGTATCTTTTGAGATTCTTATGTTAGAGTAATCTAGAGAGAGAGAGAGAGAGAGAGAGAGAGAGAGAGAGAGAGAGAGAAAATAATAAAAAGAAATAAAAGAAATAATTTCATTCGATTCGATTTACTTATCTATAACCACGCTATTTATGGGAAATTTTTCCTCTTTCTCTTTTTTCCAATATAAAAAAATTAAATGCTTCGCCATATATATTTCGCGCAGCCAGTCAGTCACGTTTTTAGACCATGAAATTTTTTTCTCCACCATCACGAAACTCGACGTAATTTTATTTATCCGTAAGCTAAAAGTAAAGCGTCGCATCAAATTTTCTGGGATAGCGCGCACAGCCAACGTTAAAATCGATTTCGTAGGAGCCCCGAAGAGAATCGCGGCGACGCGACTTAAAATACCTGACTATTCGATTACCGTCAGATTCAATTAAGATTTACTACAACGTACGCCGGGAGGTTGTCATTTTCATTAATCGTTCGCAAGGGAGATATTTATAATAACCAAGGGCCCTTATTCGGGTCGCGTTATCTTTGAAAGTACGCTTTTTACTATTTTTATTCTTTTTTTCTTTTTCTTTTTTTTTCCTTTTTTTTCCTTTCTTTTAATATATCACCTACATTTTAGAAAATCGTTATCGTTGGAAGACTCTTGCAACACTGCCTGCGGATGCTCCAGATCAGAATTTAATCCTATTTGCGGTATCGATGGGTTGACTTATTACTCGCCGTGCCACGCCGGATGTTATCAGGAAATATCGATGAACGACGTCAAAGTAAGTCAAATCCATATCTTACAGATAATAACGAAATGACTTTATTAAAATTTATCGATCGATCGATCGATCGATGTTGGAGTTTGTACATCGAAGTAAAAGGGGGATTTTACGTGTTGACAGGTATACAGTGATTGTAGTTGCATTCAGGGTACCGCAAAAAATTTGACAATCTTAAATAGCAACGAAAATATCACTTACGAAGCTGTAAACACAACCTGCACAAGCACCTGTTCTTATTTATGGCTCTTCGTCGTTCTCGCTTTCTGTAACATGTTCGTTACGTTTCTCTGTACGATGCCAGCTCTGTCCTCGACCCTTAGAGTTGTACGGGACGATCAGAGATCCTTCGCTCTTGGTATACAATGGATAAAGGTACGAATTCTTGGCACGATACCTGCTCCTATGGTCTTTGGTGCGCTCATCGACGAAACTTGCATCCTGTGGCAAGAAAATTGCGAAGGAAGAGGGGCTTGCCTTGTCTACGATAATTATTACATGAGCAGGTTCGTATCTATTTCGTAACAATCGATTCGTTCGGCGAATTTCATCTCTTGAAATTTTACTCAACCGAGAGAGGTCTTGAAATATCGAAAACTAGAAAAAGGAACGTAGGTTATATCGTATATCGAGTATACCGTATATTTTTGCATTTCGTTGAGAAAGTAGCAGGTTTCATAACTCTCCCGAGGAAAGGAACATAAAACTGAATGTTTCCACTTAGATGTATCGAGGTCCTTCTGTAAAATGTAAGACTGTAAAATGTAAGTGACCTTTTGACAGAATGCAATCCAATGCATTTCGATATTATCGGAAGGTAAAGAGAAACAGAGCAACCGCGTTTATCGATTATCCGTATATGTTTCAGCTACATGTTAGCACTGGCTTTCATCGGCAAAGCCGCATCCCTCCTCTTCTTTTTCTTAGCCTGGTGGAGTTACATTCCTCCGGTAAGCAAGACGATTGGCTCGAATTCTCAAAAGGAGACCAATACTGGTGCAAACATTTCCTTGATGCCGAGCGACGCCACCAACGATCTTCAATTAACACCAACCACGATCACACCTATGACGGACGCGTAGATTAATATCTAATACAATATGAGAAGAATATCATCAGCGAATTTGAGCACGCTTGCGTGCACGCTAATAATAAATGTGATAACATTTTCTACGAAACGTTCTGCGAGTTGATACGTACGATACGCAATTCATATTTTACGTCGTACAAGCTGTTATTTTCTTTAAAACTCGTTATCGTTCTCTTTCGAACATTTACATTTTTCTTTTCTTCTTTTCTTTTTCTTTTTCTTCTTTTTCTTTTTTTTTATTTTTTCTTTTTTTTTACTGTAAAAAATCATTTTGTTCTCATAAATATATTGTTCTCAGTGACTCAGCGGATTCGTTAAACTCGCTATAAGCGTAGGATATTTGTGCAGTGTACAAAATATCTATCTATTCATCGCCTTACAAATCACGAAACATATCCCTTGAAGATATTTTTTTTTTCTTTTCTTTTTCTTCAACTTGGTATACCGATGCACGTGACGTCGATATACAATGTGCTCTTAGATTCTCTCCGACCGTTTCCCTAAATCGACCGAATTTAGATAGATCGTAAAATGAGCGATCTAAAAGAGATCTTTCATTACGTCGATCTCATCGTAAATATTATGAATTCGACGGTGCTATATACGCTCTCTGCTAAAGCTTGTTCACTGCCGGTATTTGAACCGTTCCATGATTATTAGAAAAAAAAAAAAAAAAAAAAAAAAAAAAAAAAGAAAACATTAGAACAAATGTTAAACCTCAGTGAAGAAAATAACAAAAAAAAAAAAAAAAAAAAAAAAAGAGAAAAAAGAAAAAAAAGAAAAAAAGAATAGATACTAATTGACTCGTTAACATTGGAGTATTACCAAATTGCAGAATACATCGCGCAAGTGCACTTGTAATATTTCTAATACTCGTTAATCGATATCTAAAAAATAAAAGATCGATCGATTTTCGATTTTCCTACCATAGTACCAATCTGTATTGACAAATAATACGTACTGAATGTTACCAGAAAAAAAAAAGGAAAAAGTAAAAACAAAGAAAAGAAAAAAAACTACATATTACGGATGTTTGTACTATTCATTGCAAAGTGCAAAGTGATATTTACGCTTAAGTAATTAGCCACTACTACAGTGCTTGGATAAAAAAGAAAAAAGAAAAAAAAAAAAAACAATAGAAATCGTATAGCGTTTAATCCGTAAATGGTGTCGACGAAACTCAATGTCACATTTTTACCCTTTGTAATATAAAGAATTGTAATCCGACGGTGTAATTTCTCTATGTAGACGACGTGTAAACGCCTTTATATTAATACGTTATTAATATAAAAGTACGATGCACTCGTCGGGAATACAAAGTTGTTTGTATCATGCAAGATGGAAAAATCAAATCGATGGTGCGAAATGAAACGTTATCGTATAAGGTGTTTCACATTTTTCTACGTTTATATCCGAGAGATTCCTCTTATTATCTTTGGGACGTTAACTATTCCTCTTTGAATGAAATGATCGTTGCTCTTTTGTTAAGAGAAAAACGCTCGATTCTAGGTACAAGTAAGCGATGTGTTCGATATTCGATAAAAAAAGAAAATCGTCGTAATATCGTCATCGATTCGATGAAAACGCTCGTCAGAAATAGCTCAATTATAGGTACTTATTTGTCTACCTACCTATGCATATGTATATAAAAACTACCGTAATAGATTCGTTCTATTTCTCGGTGCGATTCGATTCTTTATCGTACGAAATTTATTATCGATTTATAATTGAAATTATTTTTTTTCATTATAACGAGCAATCGAGGTGTACACGATAGATACGAGCGTTATATGTGTTACGAATAAAGAGATTGTAAGCTCTGTTATACACCATTCCTTTTAACCTTCCCCCCCCCCGGCCGCCCCCCATCAAAGAAAATACAACCGAGATATCCTATTCAATAGGAGTATCAAGATATGACTATACAAAATGATTCATTGCGAACAATGTGAACTTTAACTAATCGTTGGAAAAATTATCGATAGTTTTAAACTAACGTATCGGTAAATAAATTCGTTTTCGAGAAATTCGATTTTTATGATGACGCATCGAAAAAAAAATGTTTTCTTAAAATCTTAGCTTCTCATGGAAAAATATCTAAATCATCTTTCAGGGTTTATCGATGAGTTAAGAAATGATCGTAAATCCAAAAAAAAGTAGGAAACTCTTTCAAAGTTAAGACTTATTATTTTAAGATGAACTATACTGATATCGATATCTAAAGCCTTTCCAATTAATTGTATTGACATTATAAAAATATGTGATGAAATACGATTGGCATTATAGAAAAAATACGACAAATCCATTAAAGGATGTCGTAATGTCATTTGATAAAACGAGTTATCGTCGTGTATGAGGAAGCAATATCAAATTAAGCCTAGATTATATCTAAGAACTCGAAGATTTAATCAATCATTTCTGTATTGTTCGATACGTTGTTTACAAAAAGTCGAAAAGTTTTTACACGTGCATACAAAAGAATGTATATATCGGGCAGGAACATCATTTTCTTTTTTTTCTAAGAAGAAAAATCGAAGATGCGAAAAAGCGATAAATGTGCAGATGGATTAGATAAGAATACAAAATGTACATGGTGAAAAATGATAAGAATTTGTACGCTTATAAAAGTCGCCTTTCTTCCTTGATATTGTCAGTTAAAAGAATCGAGCTCGAGAAGCAAATACAAAAAAAAAAAAAAGAAAAAGACAAGGTGTTTCACGATGAAAGGTAAGGTATATCTCGATCAAAATTGTCCAAATCGACCGTGAAAAATTGTTTACATCGTCTTTGAATGATTTTAGGAACATGGTACGTGGTAATTACGGTCATTGCGGCTACATTGGCCATTGTTATGACCGAAGATACGGTGATAACACCAATACCAACGGAATGTCCCGCAATAGATCCTCTGAACTACACTGTCCATTTGGCGCACGAGTCGGATTGCACTAAATTCTACAAATGTGATCATGGCAAGAAGATCGAGATGACTTGTCCATTGATGAACAATAACGGAGAAAGACTGCACTTCAATCCTAAATTACAAGTTTGTGACTTTCCAGATAAAGCTGGTTGTACATCTTCTACTAAGGATCCTTCTAAACCTACCCCATCTGTACCTACTCCATCTAAACCTTCCTCATCCGAACCTACTCCATCTAAACCTTCCTCAACCGAACCTACTCCATCTAAACCTTCCTCAACCGAACCTACTCCATCTAAACCTTCCTCAACCGAACCTACTCCATCTAAACCTTCCTCAACCGAACCTACTCCATCTAAACCTTCCTCAACCGAACCTACTCCATCTAAACCTTCCTCAACCGAACCTACTCCATCTAAACCTTCCTCATCTGAAGCTACTCCATCTGAACCTACTTCAACTAAACCTTCCTCATCTAAACCTAACCCATCTCAACCGAGTTGTTCTCCAGATGGTGTCGGTCAATCTCATGAATGCTCTTGCGAAAAATATTATCTCTGCAAAAACAGCGAACTCGTTCTTCAAAAATGTCCCGATGGTCTTCATTGGAACTCCAAAGCAGGCAAGTGCGATAAAGCTATCGAGTCGAATTGTATCAAAGAGAAAACTTTAAAATGGTATTATTAATTCGTTTGAACAACGATGAACTTATAGAGCATAATATTAGCCAAAAATGTAAATAACAATATCATTATAAATAAACATTGCGTCGACGATATCGATAAGAAGTTTAGTATAAGAAGTATCGACTAATTCAGATAACAGAATTAATAAAATAAATCGCGATATAAATAGAAATTCGGTTCGATAATCATAATAATTCGATGTCAATTTTTATCGTTAAATCAAAAGCGCGCTTTTTATTACAATGGAAACATTATTTCTTATCGATGATACAAGTCGATAAAATAGTTATCTCTCACATTGTCATTCGGCGACATCTACCATTATTTAAGCGCAACTAAAGTATCACACGATAATAAGTATCACATTCTCTTCTGTTTTTGTGGAGAAATATATCAATGAAAGATTTATAATATTGATTAATAATTTGATCGTATCTCACATTTGATTTCTTTTTATCTCTATTTATATTCCTGTAAAAAAGAATTGTCGAATTTTCGATAAACGATATCATTCAAAGAAGTAGATTGATTTTTTATTTAATTTAATTAAGTAGCTTAATTTTTTTTTCCTCTTTTTGTTTTTTGTTTCCTTTTTTTTTTAACTCGTACACGTCATTCTAATTATCGCAAATATTGTTTGATTACTGCAGAAATATCTTTATAATTACATGACAAGATTTACAAGCGATTACGATAATAATTTAGATTCAACTATGTAATTTCCGGATGTACAATTATTACCGAGCGTACGAACGAAAAATGGAAATTAACCTTAAAGATGGTGCACGTTATTTCAGATATTTATCTGGTTGTATAAGAATTATAATTTGTTTAATATCCAAATATCCTGCTTAACGTTTTGTTGATTATATAAATTATTTGCCAAATCGGCACATCCTTCATACATTGTAAATTGTAGTTAACATTAACACAGATTATTAATATTGTCTCTATCATTATTTATTAATATTTAAAAAGGTTATAGAAAGATATAGTTGCGCAATAACATTCCAATGATCGTTTTATCGTATATTACGTTCCGCGTGATGTTATATCCTAAAAAAAAAAAGGAGAAAAAAAATTCACGTTAAAAATATACCAAATATTATATTAAATATTATATAAAATATATTTATTAATGAACTTTCGTAAATCTATTTGTATGGAATATAACACATACACCAAAGCCTCTTGGTTTTTTTTTTATTTTTTAAAAAGTTAGTTTATTTGTCATAGCTCTTTATATGTACATAAGTATAATCTAACTTAAAAGACTTTTAACAGTGTTATCTTATAACTAAAGCTATAAATTATCTATACGATAAATCTCCGTAGCAATTAGTAACATAGAATATTAATTAATCTTATAACGGTGATTAAATGTTCAATGACAGTAGCATATCTATGTTATGACAGTACCATATGTATATCCAAGGCCTCTTGGTCTAGGGGTATGATTCCTGCTTTGGGTGCAGGAGGTCCCGGGTTCAAATCCCGGAGGGGCCCGATTTTTTTTTTTCTTTCACTTCATCGATACTGTTTCCTTTATTGTCGTTTTAATTAATTTTATTAACGCTCATCGACACGTAATCGGTTTACTATTAACTTTGATAATAATAAATTGAGACACAGTAGTAATTTATCGTCGTCATTTTTGCATTTCATGTTAAAAGTTACGTCGATATAACAACCGAGAACTTTATTTCTCTCTCTCTCTCTTGTTCTATTTCTTTCTATTATATGAGATTTCTCTAATCAGATTTGACGAATCAAGAGGATAAAAACACGGGAGACTTTTGAGAAAGTGAGATAAATAACTATTCGATAGGAAGTATTAAATTCGTAAAGGAAGATCGTCGTTTAAGGCTCGTTGAATTTGCCGCGTCTGACAGTCTCGTACGTGCAATAAGAAAGATGGCGGTCGCGTCGCAGTGCGCATGTACTGCTTCCAAATGGTCGAGCAAAAACACAGCTGGTCTATGATCTCCGAGGCAGCTGACGGTCGAACGCTCTCGACGTGATTTCGCGTGTGTGTTTCCGACCGATCCAAAGAGTTCACAGAGAGATCTAAGGTTTAAGATTCGGATTCGAAGAGAGCTATCGTAATAGAGAGGTTATAACTAGGTGTTAAGTAGGAAAGGGAAACGACGTGTGCCGGATCAAAGGAGGCAGTGATAGTGATACGTTTTTGTGTGAGCTTAAATGTGTATGAAGCTCGTACGTTCGTCGCGGTGTCGCCACGAGGGGAGGTTCGTTCTTCGTCCCTGGGATACAAAGGAGTCGAGGAACTGGCTGCTTCTAGCGTCCTTAAGGTGAATACAAATTTTTTTCATTCTGCTATTAGTTATATGTAACATATATAACTAATATATATATATATATATATATATATATATATATATATATATATACGCATATATACGAGTATTTGTTTGTCTGCTCTGGAAACGCGCGGACTATGTGAAAGATTGTTTCATAAAAGATCCATTGTGTTTCTCGATTCGTGGCCTCTCTCTCTCTCTTACACACACACACACATACGTTCTCCTTTCTCTCTTTCTTTCTTACAGACATACAGAGAGAAAGAGTGAAAGAAACGATTTACACATTTACACATTCTCTGTACATAGCAAACTTATAGAATTTTTATACTTAATTTGAACCCAACGATGTCAAAAAATTCCATTACGTTTTACCAACTCGGTGATACCCAAATCAAAGTGATAGACAGAAAGACAGAGGCAGAAAGTGTGTGTGTGTATGTGAGAAAGAGAGAGAGCAGAAATCTCAATGTCGAAATCGTATTAATCCGTGAGATATATCTATGGGTCTATCTCTCTAACCCTCTTTATCCCCCTTCCCTGTATCCACCCACTTTCATTTTTATTTACCAAAAGTTACTTTCAACTTGGATACTTTAGATAAAAGAACAAATCGAATGGATGTAAAGATTTGTGATATACATATAAGGAAAATCAAAGAAAAGTGAGCGTTTTGCCTTGGTATTGTGGGATAAAGAAGGAACGATAGAGAGAGTATGACAGAGAGAGAGAGAGAGAAAGAGAGAGAGAGAGAGAGAGACAGAGAAAGAGATAGGACGAGGTCAACGGTATGAACAAAATATTGGCGTATCATCGTCTCCCGATTCGGATAAATTTCTCTCTCTCTCTCTCTCTCTCACTCTCTTTCTCTCTTTGTTATTTTTCTCTAACTCGTTTTATCGAATCTCATGGTGTTTTTTTTTTTTTTCATTATTCGACATCGTACATTGCTTTCTCGATCGACTTCGAAAGGAATGTACAGCTGATCGACGAGAAACCCATATTACGTTATTCGTTCATTGATCGAAAAATGGTAAAAAATTTATATCGTCGAAATATCGACTTATCATTGAATGATTACGTATACATAATATGTTTATGTACATACACGCAAGTATATACACTATTGTCACCCAGTTCAATCTTCTTCGAGTGATGTATACGTATTTGTTTACATTGACAAAAACATTTTCTTCTCTCTCTCTCTCTCTCTCTCTCTCTCTCTCTCGTCTTTTTAGAAAAAAATCATAATATATTTACATTCTATCGAATAAGTGATCTATACGAATACGTATATGTTATTCTCTTTATGTGTTGAGAAAAGACAACCTAATTATATAGAGACTAGGGAGGCATTTTGCGAACTAGGTCGAAAAGCAACCGCGTGCGGGCTCTCCGCTTTCCGTTTTCCGCATTTATCCTTTGCTAGTTACGACGCTGCACACGGCAAACCGACGATAACTTTAGACCGCTTCGAACGAACGAACGAACGAATGAACGTACGACGAACGTACAACGAACGTACCAACGAACAAGATCTTTATCACCTCGCTTCACTTCACCTCACTTTACCTCACCTCACCTCACCTCACCTCACCTCACCTCACCTCACCTCACCTCACCTCACCTCACCTCACCTCACCTTGCTTTGGCTCTCCGCGCCTTTCGCAGTTCGCCTTTCGCAGCTCGCCTTTCAAGGGGAAGCCTCGAGAGCGCGTGGTATGTTTGAGCTTGTTCAGCAACTATACTCCTAATCCGACGAAACAATTACAAAAAAAAAGAAATGAAAAAAAAAAAGAAAAAAAGAAAAGGCGTTTTCCTAGAAAATTCATCTTTCTGACGAAACTAATCAACCCCCTCGATATCACTAACGCGTAGTTTATCAGCGACAGTTCCTAGTCTAGAGTACAAAAAAAAAAGAAGAAAGAAAAAACAAGTAAATTGATCGATCGACCGATCGAATTGTTTTATTATTAATAATGATAAATAATGATTAAAATGTTTATTAGATTAATTGAAATTTCTCACGATAAACGTTTCGATTGTTCGATCACATTTATTAATTGAGACGATTCCAGACCATTCTTCCTTTTTTTTTTTTTCTTTATCACTATTTCTTTCCTTTTCTATCTTTTTCTTCTATTCTCTTCCTCTTTTACTACTACTTCTTGTTATCACGTTTAAGAGAAGAAAGAAGTCGATATCACGATTGTGTCCGATGGACTCTCCGTTACCCTTTGTTCTCATCGCGAGGTAAGAATTCTTGGAAGTCGTCGAGATCGTCGTGGTAGATGGATAAAAAAAAAAAAAAAAAAGAAAAAAAAATAAATAAATAAGAAAAAGGAAACCGTCATGGTCATCTTAATCGTCATAGTCACCTCGTAATCTATTAATATATTATTAACCGGTCCACAAATATACTCGTTATTGAAAATGCATACGACTTATGTAACTATCAAAGTAAAAGAAAAAAATAATATATATTGTTTATCGTGTTGCATAAGATCAATCTAATTCTAATATTTCTTATTTTCCCGAATTTGTAATAATTTAATAAAAATGTTTTCATTCAATCACGAACACAAAAATCGGGATGAAATCCCTGGCATTTGTGATGTTACTTGTTATTATATATCTGTCAACAATGTGTTAACTAAAATATACAAAGTTTCTTAGAAATATTCTTCTTCTTTACGTCGCTCGTGACCCAATTCTCAGTCGAAAATCCGGATAAAAGGATACCGTTAGGTGCGAATGTACGAGACGAGAAGGAAGGAGATGGTGGAGAAGAAGAGGAGGTGGAGGACACGCGTGTTGTCTTGGCCAAGGTCCTTCGCAAACGGGACCTTTTAAGAAATCGCGATCATTCATTTTCTCTCAAGTTAAAGTCTCTTTAATAAATCTTTGTTAATAAAAATATCGACGACTTGTATATACGTATATATAATAATAAATACGAAAGCTCGTTCCCATAAATGGCTTTCTCTAGAAACAGAAATCATATTGCATGTAGCATGGCCTTTGTTCGACAGCAGATTATAATAAGGGCGAATAAGCGAGCTTCTGCTCTGAAATCTATTATTCTGTCACTTACGTTCGTATTTTCGATGTCGAACGAACGAGAGAACGTTACGGATTATATGTACATATGTGTGTGTGTGTGTGTGTGTGTGTGTGTGCGTGTGTACACATTTACGTGTACAAACATATACGTACGTTCCAATAAACTTTGTTCTTCCAAGTTCCTCGTCGATTAACGACGATTCCCTAGTTCATCTATCGATTTACTAACGTTCTATTAAATCTCGATTCATCTACTTTCTTTCTTCTTCATTTAGTATTCAATCTCTAAAATTAACATACATTAACTTACACTTATCCATTTACATCTAATTCTAATTAATCGAAGGGACAAACAGAAATCTCATTAGCTTTATTTTAATTTATAAGGGCATACCATATAAACGAATGATTGCTTAATTAGAAAAAAGTTAATTAAACGAAGAAAATGAAAGGAGTATGAACTATTCTTTATTTCTTTCAGTCTTATCGTACACCTTATAATTTTATCGAGTTATTTGTTTTTATTCTTTTTTTCTTTCTTCGTCACGTCTTCGTCCATTCGAGCGAAAAGATATCGTTCTTATTTGATTTCTTTAAATTTGTAAAAGAAATCCCAATAAATAATATGAGAAAGAAGTTAAAAAAGAAAATGATGGACGAAGATGATAACGACGACAAAGAGAATGATGAAAGAGAAAAAGACAGAGAGAATAAAGGTGTACAAACTTTGACGTGAAAGTTATTACGATGCGGACATATACACACGCACATACATACATATACATATATATATATAAACACAAAGTCGCGATATTAGTTTTAATTAACGATGCGAGAAAATCACAGATACATTTACGGCTTAATTAACAAGGTTCGATTATTTGTTACCACGTGAGACAAGTGAACCATATTGGTTTCGAACGGGAATCGTTCTTCTTTCTTCTTTTTTCTCATTTTTCTCTCTTTTCTTTTTCTTTTTTTTTTTTTATTTTTTATTTTCTCTTCTTTATAAGGCTTTTTCGTAAGCAAGATTTATCGTTGCACCTCTCTCACGTCTAAGCTTCTCATCCATAGTTTAACTCTCTCTCTCTGTCTCTTTTTCTTTCTTTATCTATCTATGTATTTATTTGTCTATTCCTCTCTCTCTCTCTCTCTCTCTCTCTCTCTCTCTCTGTCTTATTTTCTTTTCTCTCTCTGGAAATAAGCGGAATAGAGCTTATTTCGAAATAAAATAAGTGACAGGTCGAAAATGAATTGGGTCTTCGAATCTGATGTATCATCTTCATGGACCCGATGCTAAACGAAAATATCGATCGATTTACTCGCTTGCGAAATTACTAAATATCATTTCGATTATTTTGACGAATCTATTTACTGTCGAAAGTTCCGCGTCTTAAAAGTTACTTTATTTCAATTTTTTTTCCTTCGTCCAGACATTTTCTTATCGTACGAGGTTCTTCTTATTCGAGTCAACAAATAATCGACGAACACTTTGCTAATAATAATAATCTTATCGTTTGATAATTATATATATATATATTCTTGTTCTTTTTTTAATTATCTCGTATGACATGTTATTCTCATGAATTAAGAAAGAGAGAAAGAGAGAGAGAGAGAGAGAGAGAGAGAGAGAGAGAAAATTAATTCGACGTTGGGAACAAACGTATATATTTTTTCCCTCGCGTCTCCGTTATGAAATTGATAGGAATAAAAATTATGAGGATGTCTTACGTCTTGTATATGTAATACTTGTAGATTATTTCATTTTCATGAGATTTCTGTACTTTATTTTTAGATCAAAGAGCGCCAATTTAATATTTAATTATCTATAAATTGCAAAATTTTCGATCTTATCTCTCGTTACTTTCTTTAATCGTCTCTCAGGACGCACTCGTAAACCTCCTTTTCTTTCATCGATCCGGTAGACG